AAGATGTGATGATAATTATAATAATAAAAAGGGGAAGTGTTGATCGACCCCATCTCAGGTTGGTTACTATTCATCCAAAAGAAGCCAATTCCAATGAATTTTCGTCTCTTATCTTTGGAGGTGCTTGATGATAGTGCTAACTCAATGGAGCATATTATAGCCTTTCGTGCCCAAATATTATTGTATGATACTTCGGATACCCTAATGTGTCATACCTTCCTAATCACATTAAGAGGCTTAGCAGATGAATGGTATGTCTGCCTGAAGTCACTTTCCATCAGTTCTTTTACTTAGCTCACAAAAGCGTTTGAACTTCACTTCATCATCAATAGCAATACTCCTTAAACTCAGGTAAAGAGAGGAATAAACACTCGCAGTCTTCATTATTCAATTCATGAGTGAGATTTGAGGCATGCTAAACTTTTATCATTCATAATACAAACCTTTATAATGGGGCTAAAGCCCTCTCACTTTTTTTAGTGATTGATAGAGAGACCACCGACAACTATACCAAAGACACTTTAAATGATCAATCAATACATTGCTATCGGGGCAATAGTCTTGGACAAACGTGAAGAGGTCGAAACAGGAGTGGCTACAATTAGCCCTGACCCCAAGGTCACTTTAGCGAAAGAGAAATGAATAACCCTAGTAACATCATCCAAGGTCCAAGCTGACCTCTCTAAATATGACTAGAATTGAATGTTTTCTACAAATAAAAGAGAAAGTATTCTTAAAAGACCATCACCCAATGAAGACCCTGTTGGCAAAAAGAGACAAGTTTAAATACTGTTGATTCCACTGAATTACAATCACGACACAAAGGATTGTCACTACTTGAAAGAGTAGATCAAGGAGTTGATCTATTGGGGACACCTCAGATGGTTCATCCAAAAGCATTGAGAACCCTCATTAACCTTAGGGACCAATGGAGAGGTCGATTAATGTCATAATTAGTAGACCTACCCTAAGGGAGATAACTCCTCGGATCGTAAGGCTTATACATGAGCTACCATCACAAAGTACTCAAGGATAAAGAACTACCCGAAAATAACCTTCAAGGGGGAAAAGACGGAACACCTCAACCTGAATCATGATGATGCTTTGGTGGTTTATATAAGGATGATCAATACTCGATTGAAGAGAGTCACAATTGATACAAAAACAAGCCTTACTCCAAAATAATAATGACTAAATTTATGATGGTGGATATCCCTTTGGTGTACAACGTGATCATACCCTAACCCACACTAAACAAACTAAGGGCAGTGATGTCGCCCTATCACATGATGATAAATTTTTCAATAAGAGAGAGGTCAAAACTTGTTGCCTTAAAATGATAAAAGGGATTGTGCTATTGAGGACATGCTACATTATAAATTTAAAGAAGTTATACCCTTAAGGCATCCCTCGGAGTCAGGTCGGGATGACTATATCTTGAGCATCAAGCCTTGATCTACTATGTCTTCAACGCCAATTGTAAAAAAGAAAAAATATATTTTTAGGTTATAGGTGTTATAAGTTGAGAAAAAAAATTACATTACTTAAAAGGACTATACCAACTTGGTCGAGTCTCTATAATAAGAAACATTTCATGACATGATGTATAAGATAAAATATGTCCAAAGCACATGAGTCAGAAAAACTCGATCCACGTAAGAAGAAACTCACTACGATGAGAGGCATAAGATAAAATGTGTCCGAGGCACATAAGTTAGGAAAACCTTACCTATGCAATAAAAGATTCATCAATATGGGAGGCTCAAAACAAAATGTAACCGAGGCACATGAGTTGAAAAAACCTAACCCACATAATATGAAACCTACCATGGTTAGAGGCACAATATCAAATGTGCTCAAGGCACGTGAGTTGAAAAAACCTAACCTATGTAAAAAGAAATATGTCATGGCAAAAGGAACAAGACGAGATGTGTTCAAGACATGTGAGTTAAGAAAACTCGACCCGCATGAGAGTAAATACATTATGATAGAAGACACAAGAGAAAGAATATTCGAAGCAAAGAGGTCGAGCATTGACCCACTTCTTTACTTAAAGTGCATAGCCCACTACCTAACATAACCCATCGGCCTAGAGGCTAAAAAAAAAATGCAGGCACCTCAAATAGAGACGACCTCCCTCCGCCCAAGGTGGGTCCCTCAATGATGGGTGGGGCAAGTCGATGATAGGGAGCTTCGTAGCATCCCTGTTGTGGACCCATTGCCTACACAATGTGGTTCCCTCAATAACGAGTAGAAGAGGAGCCCACCTTAACACCTCCTATAGCATACCTTGACTCATCTCACATCTCACCTTGATGACGAGTAGAAGAAGAGGGTTAGGTCATCGATGGGGGGCTTCACAACATCCCTGTTGTGGACTCGTTACCTGACGTGGGTCCCTCAAGGACAAATAGAGGAGGAGCCCACATTGCACTATTTGTCACCCACCTTAATTCCTCTTATAGCTTGCCTCGATGACGAGCAGAAAAAGAGGGGCAAGTCAGTGATGGACCGTCGCTAGTAGCGCCTCGCCTGTAGTCCTCATTGAGCCAAGGAAGTTAAGAAATTTGACGATGAGCATAAAAAGAAGGGTAGGCCTGCGATGGATCACCTCTAACAATGCTTGCACCCCTTGCTTACGATCCTCACTGAGCCAAGGAGGTCAAGAAACTCGACCTCCTCCTCCGCTCGAGGCGTGGTGGTCGGTAAACTCATCCAGGTCAAGTAGAGATGGGCCCACTCTACTCCCTCGACAATGGGAGAGGTAAGTCGGTGATGGATCATCGATTAACAATGCTCGCACCCCTCGCCTGTGGTCATCATCAAGCCAGAAAGGTCAGAAAATTCGACCCCCTCCTTCGCTCGAAGTAAAGAGGTTAAGCACCTAACCCTTCCTTTTTGTCACTATCGAGCCACAAAGGTCAAGGAACCAACCCCCATTATTGTCGTCCTCCATGCTTGGAGGGTCGGGTTCACTTCGAACCCCTCTTGTGAGAGTCATCAAAGCACATCTTAGAGAAGAGACAAATGATGAGGAGAGCATCGTCAGTCAATCTTCACCTGACACATGGCCTTCACATGGTATCTAAGGTGGAAGAAAAAGTCAAAGGCTACCCTTCGCTTCTTTGCTCACATGGACAGGGTCCAAGACAATCAACTATAGGCTACATCCCCCTTGCTACCCATGTAGATAAAAAAGGTCAAGAGGAGATTGTTGGAGGCAATTAGAGGTTGCCTCCTAGAATGTTATATATAATATTTTATCCTTTTACAACTAGGCATAAAAGTTCATCTTTAATACAAGGGAAGAGGGGGGATTACTTTTTAACCACTCGTTTCTGCACTCATCTACCTTAAGCTACTAACTTTGGGGTTAAAGAGATCAGATCGAAAAACTTCTTCCGACCTCGATCTTCGTGTAGATGGCACCTCAAGAGCTTGGTGTTTTCACATCGAAGACATCATAGACAATCCTACATACATACGTCTGAACCACATCGAACTGACCAAGACATCAACGACTTCTTCCCATAATAATCTATATAATGAATCAATCCTATTTTTTAACTATCATATTTTTAAATAGATTTATAATATTTTTAAAATATTATAAATCTATTTAAGAACATTATAACTTATATGAAAATCTCTCTTTTATTTCTAAACTAATAAAAATAAAATATTTTATTTTTAATATATAAACTAGTTTTTATTGGATTTTTAAAAATTCATTTGCTTCAATTATAATATTCTTGAATATACTTATTTGGTGAAGGTATAAAAAACATAATTAATATAGAAGTTCTAAAATCAATAATGATAATTATTTAAAATTATTATATATATATATATATATATATATATATATATATATATATATATATATATAAAAGTTAGTTTTATATTAGATTTTGAGTTAATTTATCTCAATCGTAATGTTTTTAATAAATTTGCAATGTCTTATTAGGAGATTCTATTAAAGAATTATAATATTTTTCAATAATAATTGGACAAGAAACGTTATTGAAATAATTGAAGGAGGAGAGAGAGATAAAAGATAATAAAACGAAGGAGGCGAATGAGAAAGGAGATTGAGGAGGAGGAATGAGATAAGGCAAAAGTGGACGAGAAGAAGAGGAAGATAGAGATGGCGAAGACAACAAGAATAGGAGAAAAACTAGATTAGGAGAGCAGATAGAGATTGATAGGGAGGATGAGGAGAAAGAGTAGGAGGAATCAGTTTAATAAAAATAAATAAATTATGAATTATTTTTAATTTTAACATCATTAGATATAAAATGTGATGATATTTCTGTTCAAATTAGAAAAATGGCACCCAAGTAAAACAGAATTAGGAGGGCATCATCTTTAAAAAACAAATAGTGGGTTTTTTTTATATATTATCCAAAAATAAAAGAGATTAACATATCCTCCACAAAATAAAAATAACAAATATATATAATCTTCCAACATCTTTAAATTACTTAAATGTTCCTGTAAATCTGTTAAATCTTATATTGTGGTTAACATTAATTAGCTTTGATCAGAACACGTATATATAAATGACAATAAATTGTTAAAATAGTATAAATATCAATTATAATTTAATCTAAAATAAAATGCCAGTCTGCCAACGAAAATTTATTTATAAGCGCATTACATATAAAATCGGCTTGGCTCCGGTTTGGCTCCGGTTCATGGTTTGGCTCCGGTTCATGGTTTCAGTAAAATTTCAAGAAACGGTTTTCCACCCTCCGACAACGTTCCACAAAAGACACCCGCCCTGTTTCTGGGAGGAGCGGTGGCCCCCTGTGGGACGTGGCTTCCTTTACGTTTGAGGTATGTGTGGCACTGTGTAGGATAAGTATTACCGCTATAGCTTTTGGTTTTATATAGACCCCAAAAAAGAACCGGCGGTTGACGACAGTATGTGTGCCGGTTCAGTTATAGACCGAACTAATTATATGTTTATAAATATTCTTCCGCGCCCTAAACCGGCCCATTCCGGTCGTCCTTTTATCTTCGGGGTTTCCCTTTTGCCCTTTATGTTTCGATGCCCTAATTCCTGACGAGCGACGCTACCCCGCGATCGCTCTCTCGCCCCCGAGGATCACACCTTTGCCGTCGATATTACCTCTCCGTGGTGGCGAGCCCTCCATTGCCGTCGCTTGCCAAGTGGTGCCTGTCTCTCTAGTGCGATTAGCTTGTGGTGCGTTTTCTTTTTCTCGATCTTTTTTCTTCTTACTCTAATCTGATATACTCGACATCATCAAACGTTATCGATTCAATGAGTCATTTAGGGTTTTGTAATTCCTGTGCCTCCAATTGATGGATCTCTTATTTTTTTGGTTGCCCTTTGGATGATTTGTTGATGCCGGAACGGCTCGAGTTCTGTGCTTGGAAATTTTGGTTAGCTGCTCCAATTTTACTCAATATTAGTTTCTCAAATTTTTGTTTGGATGTTTGATAAATTATTTCGGTTTTAGATCGTTACAAAAGGAACAACTTTTAAAGTTCAAAACGACATTGCTGGCTTTTTGCCTTCTCTTCTGTATATCTATGTTGATTGGTGCTTCTATGTTGTTTAGCAGCCGCTATTCGATTGCAGAGAAGATACAATCTAGTAGGTCCACCTTACGTATTTCATAAATTCGCTTATCACCTTTGGTATTCATAGAATAACAGATCGCCTGCTGTCTTTCATCGATTAGCATTGCCGTGTTGTATCCAGAGAGTTCTGTGTCAGTTTGCATCAGCATCGATGGATTGCATATGTTTATCTAAAGTATTATGAAACTTAATGATACATGTTGGGTTGGGAATCTATTACATTCGTGCAAGTTATTTAGGCTTTCTGGATCTTCTGGTAGGCAGCATTCATGGAGATTGATCTCCTAAGAAAGATCCTAAAAAGGAGTATTTGATTGTTGCGTTCCGGGACACACATGAGATACACAACTTATACATTTTTGCACTGGACTTATTGGTTGTTATTTTTTGTTTAGCTCACGCATAGGTTCTTTTATAGCTATCTTTTATATGAACTGAGATTCTGGGTACTGCATTTTTTAACTAATGAATTATAAGATGTTTGATTCCCTGCAAAATGGCTTTATATCAAAATGTTGAAGCTTCGATTTGGTGCCAATAAGAATATTGTTGCAATTTCAGATATCCTAAGTAGGAGGCATATTAATTAAAAAATTCTTGCAAAAGTCCTTAGAGCTGTGCATGCTCGAGGAGTTGAAAGTTTACTTGATTGTTTTGGATATGTGGGCCTAATTGTAAATTTATGGCCATGTATTATCTGAACATTACTTTTTCCAAAATGTTAAATGACAATTCTTCAATCTTGACCTAGCTTTATATCTGTTTTTTTGGGTTCTAATACGTGAGGCCTCACTAAATTTCTTTTTTCCTTTTAACAGATTCCATTCCTAGTAATGGCAAGTTACTCAGGGAGAGGTGGACCATCAAATGGCTCTGTTTATGTGTGTAAGTTGCCTCCTGGAACTGATGAGACTATGCTGGCCGAGTATTTTGGCACCATAGGGTTGCTAAAGGTATAGGTCTTGCCAGATATCCTTTTGAATCATCTTCCATTATTTTCAACTATTTGTTGTGTGTAACAGAGACACTGTTTTATGATTTCCATCTATAATTATATAATATGGCTGCTCAAAATTTGACAGAAGGATAAAAGGACTGGTCGACCAAAAATTTGGTTGTATAGGGATAAAACTACCAATGAACCTAAGGGCGATGCAACAGTTACATATGAGGACCCACATGCAGCTCTCGCTGCTGTTGAATGGTTCCACAACAAGGATTTTCACGGAGTTCCCATTGAAGTTTATATAGCAGAGTCAAAAACTAAAGACTCAATTGATAATTCAACTCAGCAGGATGGTTTTGAAGAAAATCCAATTATGGAAGTTGGAGGGCATGATGATCTGAATGGTGCCGGAGGTAGAGGTAGAGGTCGTGCTGGTGCATCAGGAAAATCATGGCAACAAGATGGAGACTGGATGTGTCCCAATACAAGGTCTGTGGTATGATATTGGTGAGCAACTCATTCTTGCACTATTAGATAATTTTTCTAATTTGAATATGTTCCAGATGATGCAACTTGTTTTATCATTCTTTCTTTTGCTGGCAGTTGTTCCAATGTGAACTTTGCATTCCGTGGTGTGTGTAACCGGTGTGGGACAGCTCGTCCTGCTGGTGTTGGTGGAACAGGTGCTGGTGGCGGTGGTCGAGGAAGGGGCCGAGGTAGTGGTGATGCTGGAGGAGTTGCCCGTTCTGTTGGTGGTCCCACAGGGCTTTTTGGTCCAAATGACTGGCCCTGTCCGATGTAAGTAACCTTTCTTGCTTTAGAAGTTAGTTTTGTCCCATTTGAAATGCTTTTTTATCACTTAATGTGGAGAGTATCTAATTTCTTGCTGAATAAAATCCAACTTTTTGATATGATTCATGGTGTTTGCTAGAACAAAATACCTTTTTTTAGGCATAAAGTGATGTTCTGTTTTCTTTTAGCAGCATAATTTTATAAAAAAAATTCTGTGAGAAACTCATTTGTTTATTGCAGCTATTTGTTAAGCTTAGTTTGACCCAATGGTTGTTTGCTTTAGCAAAGGATGTTACCACTTGACTTGGTTTGTAAGCATTCAGCAATGATATGTAATAAACTATTCCAGTAGCACTATAGTTATACGGATAGCATTTATCAATGATTTATTTTGACCCTTTCCAGATATTACACATTTCCTAGTGCCAAAAATAATCAAGGAATACACCAGAGAATAGAAAACATATGCTTTTCCCCAAGCCCAAAACATTCCATTAGTTTCATTTAGTTATTTTACTGTTTGATTTCTTACTCTATGCACAGGGAAACTACATATTATGGCAATGTTTTTCTGTTCTTTTTTCTTTTACATCTTTTGAGGTTTTACCAGCTCTGATTTTTGCAGACTAGTAAGCTCTAATTATATTTAACACGCACACCCAACAGAAAGCAAATATGGGTTAGATATTCTTTGTTGCACCCTTTATGTTGGTCAACTGAATTCAACACATGAGAAGACATCTTTATTAACACTTCCCTGCTTAGAGAATTTTTTTTGTTGTGCATGATATGTCATAGTTGAAAGCTGTATCTTGTATGCACATACTGTATAGGGTGTTTGTTGCTTTTTTGGCTACAATGAAGTTATCATTGAAACCTTTTCATAGTACACTGTTCATTAATTTTTATATAGGTTACTGCTTGAGCAAGTGTTTTTTCCCTTCTACATAAGAAACATTAAACCCCTGCTAAATTGGAGCGAACGTCTCATATTGTTGGTTCACTGCTTGGAGATTATCACACTGTCCTGTTTACCATGCGAATAAATCATGAATCGATCAGTAGCACACTATGTTGTAGAAGACAACTCTTCTCTCTCTCTCTCT